AGCAGGCTCCTGAAACCGAGCTCACAGCTTCTGGCCAAATGGGTTCTCTCCGTAGACAGTGTCGGAACAGAACTGGGTTAGAGGACACTGATATCTGATGCAGAGCTGTTTGCTTGCTCGGTGTGTAGGGAAGAGTGTGTGCTCGCGAGGGTAGTGAGTGCTCTATGCAGCCAGAGAAGCTGGGTTTGTATTCTCTTCTTCTTGGTCTCAGATACGCCGTACAGCGATGTGTGCCCAGTTCTAACACTACCGATTCACCTTGTGCGGCAGAGTTGGCTTAGACAATGTCAACCTTGGCTCTAACACAGAACAGCTAGCATGTATTCTCCTCAACTCTAGTCGTCAGCATGCCTGGCTGGATTTCTGATAGTTCTCACCAGGACCATCAACACAGCCCATACATTAGAACTGCCTGTCCGCATTTATTCTTGCCTCTCCATAATCCACCTTTGCACAAGGACCAAGCTACGTGGAAATCCCATCTCTTGCGTGAAAACTGCAGTGGTTTTCCATCCTTCTTGTGATCGACCATGCTGCCCTTCCCTAAGTTTCCCTTCACCATCTTTTCTTGGCTCATGTTCGTTCTTTGGGCCTCAGTTGACACACAGTTTTCCCTGGGAAAGACCCTTTATCTAAGCAGTGAAGATTGTTTAGGAATCCAGGCACGATCTGTTTAATTCGCCTAATATAGCTCTTGCCTCTATCAGGCAAACAAAATCCAGAAGAACATTGACTGTTCCCAGCATGGAGCCTTAAGGGGCACACACAGACTTGCTCACCAAATGATCGCTTAGTGAGCTTCTTGGCCATCCATTTTTGCTTCTCCAGTAAAGCAAAGTTTTCCCCAATTTTAGGTACCGTTCATTGTGTTTTTGCTTCTTGACGGGGATTGTTTATGTAGAGGGCAAAGTCAGTTGTTTCCATGGCTTAAAATTAGGGTTCCAAGAATTGAGGAGTTTGTAATCTCGCTGGTGGCGTGATGCTGAAATGGTGGTGGCCGTGCCGTGACTACACATTCCCAGCCACGGGGATGGGTGGCCGGTGGCAGCACCTCCTTCACAGAGCCGTTGTCTCCTTAGGTAGATCATGACTTTCCAAAAATACACAGTGCCACCCCAATGCACAGTAACTGTATGATGACTCTGAGAGACTTCCTTCCCCAGCAACCTGTTCAAATGCATCCTCCATATCGTTTTTCCAGGCAAACGAAGCAAACTCAGACTAAAAAGAAAGAAAGAGCTGGGGTGGTGGCGCACGCCTTTAATCCCAGCACTCGGGAGGCAGAGGCAGGCGGATCTCTGGGAGTTCGAGGCCAGCCTGGTCTACAAGGGCTAGTTCCAGGACAGGCTCCAAAAGCCACAGAGAAACCCTGTCTCGAAAAACCAAAAAAAAAAAAAAAAGAAAGAAAGAAAGAAATGAATATTGCCGAGATTTTAAGAGTTGCATTTTGAAAAACCTCAGGGCTTGGCAGAGGGAGACAATAAATCAAAGAGACAATGGATATTTCAAAGCATTTTCAGGCTGGAGATTCAGACAACCCTTTGACACCGTAGGATGATAGAACTCTGCTTGTCCTCGTGGAACCCAGAGGGCAATAGAGACTTGTAGTCCACAGAGCCCCAAGACAGAAAGTTCACCACTGAGGCTGGAGATCAGGAGCCATCGTCTCCAGGTCTCTGCACCCTGATGGCCCATTCATGCTTCTCAGGCACTTTGTCAGCGTTTCCGGTTATCACCAGATCCTCAGATCAAATCCATATGATTAGAAAAGAAACCATGAGGCTGTGTATCCCAGGTGCGAGGAACTGGATGCCAAAGGAAGTCCAACCAACCAACCAACCAACCAACCAACCAAAAAATAGTGAGTCACTGGAGAGACCTCTCTTCCCAGAGAGAAACGAGACCTGCCTCTGACCTTTAAGAAGACATCTGGTAGGGACAGATGTGATGCTGTATATTAGAAGTGACTCAGAGCGGCAGACATGTAAATTGTGGTTTAGTTCCAACTTGAAGCACCAGGCAGCAAAGAGATGGGATGAACTGCTAACTCTCCCAACACTGGGGAGGAATCTTGAGAATGGCAAGGCCGAGAAAGCCCAAGGAGATAAGCAAAAGCCAGCTTCATTCCGTATGCAACTTCAATAGCATGTTGTTAGACATTAAGATGATGTCCCCTGAGGACAGGCGTGGCAGAAGGAGCATGAAATCCCTGCTGGCTGTGGACGCGGACGACTCAGACCGACGTATTTCTGGACTTTCACTGAGCGGTACAGGAAACTCCTGGTTCACTTTTCAGAATGTACATTCTGCTTCCATCCTACCTCCACCTTGGCTTCCCACCCCCAGGACCTGGGACTAAATTGCTCCCAGGGTGAACAGAAGGCCCCCGAGTTCTTGTCACCATAGCCGAGGGTGTCCGTGAGTTGGGATGGCTGAAAAATGGGAAGCGGTTATGAGCTGAGTTCACATGGGGAGAGAGGAAGCTGGTCCTGATGTTGAGTTGTTAGATTACTGTTTTGGTTCCATCATTGTTTTCTCCAAGTTCCATGGGTCTACGGCCCTGTCTGGCCAACTCAAATGATCTCGAATGAGTCATGCTATGTGGAGATTATGGAGGTGGGGATCTACACCCAGGTTACATCCGTGTCACACACGCGTCCTCACAGTGGCTCAGCACAGGTTCCCAGTCCCTTCTCCCTCGGTGGGGTCCAGAGCAGCCTCCAGGAGCTCACTAGACCTTAGAGACTGACCCAGATCTCTCTCAGGAGGCCTGGTTTCTTCAGGACTGAGGAAGTTTCAGTTTCTGACACCCAGTGGTGAGGGGACAAGGCTCCTAGGTGACTTTCCAGATGACTGGCACTGCAGGAAAGAGGAAGAGGCCTCACTGTGGCTCCAGCAGGCAGGTTACAGCCAGGTGTCTGCATGGAGCAACTTCCAGGAGCCCTGTGTGCATCCCAAGAGCCCACTAGAGGTCGATGCCTGGAAGCCAAGCCCAGCACAATGAGTGGACATGTCCCTGTCCAGGCTCTCTTGGGTGGGTCAGCTAGCCTTGAGAAAACAACAGGGTTCAACGTGACAGTCCCCACATTCTAGAGACTTGAAAGGGAAATCCTTTGGATTGGGTCTGGACTCCTGGGGCTCAGCCTGGCCTGGCCTGAGGCTGCAAGAAGAATAACAAGTAGGAAAAGCCATGGGGTGTGACTGGCTGCTCAGGTGAAGGTTTCTTGGCTGCAGGGTCTCTCGGTTGCTCCCCCACCCCATCCATTGCTGTAATGACCAATGCCCACCCTCTCCCTATGGCTCCCACCAGCCTCTCTCTCATGACCCACTTGGTATGCTAAGCCTCTGTGCTCCAAAGCTGCAGGATTCCTCCCAGTTGTGCCCACCGGTGCCTCCCCTCTGAAGCCTCTGCTTCTCCTCTTGCCAGCTTCCTTCTCTGTTGTGTTTCTCTTGCCTTCCTGGCTCTCCATTTTTCTTATCCTCCCCTCCCCACAGAGGCAGGATGCAGAGGAAGGCCAGCAGAGGGCAAGGGCCCTGGAGAGGACTCAGGAGGCAGGTGAGTGCTTGCTCCCCACTGCCTTGTGTGCCTTTGGAGTTTTGCCGGCTGTTGGTGCTCTCACCTGTGGGGACAGGCTCATAGGCCGGAGTCTGTGGGAGAATTGGATGCATCACAACCGCAAAGAATGGGGTCACCCCAATTCATATAAACACGAAGACCACCCGTTCTTAGGCCCTCTCTGACCTTGCACACGTTCAGACAGACAGGTAGATAGACAGAGACACAGATGTAGAATGAAATCGTGGGATAAACACTCAATGCCTTGGACTATAGTACCCAGGGGAAATTGTCATACGAACTCTGAACCCAAACCTTGCTTTCTGTGAAGTCACCTTTCCCATGGCCATCCAGCAGGTATGCTCCCCACCCCACCCCCTTTTTTCCCACTATCAAGTGAATCGAGGAAGCAACTTATAAACAATATATCTTGTGCCACCAAAAGGGACCACAACTGCTGTTTCCTGTTTGTGGTGGCAATGGTCTTAACTGAATGAACAGAGGGCAGGAGACTCACAGTGCTAATTGCAGGATTTGACTCCAGCTCCCTCTGTAAGTGTAAGCATGCTTCAGGGAGCCCAGGCCTGCCCACTGCGCCCCAGCTCCCTCCCCTGAAGTCAAAACATTCCTCAGAGAGCCCAGGCCTGCCCACCAAGCCCCAGCTTCCTCAGTAAGTGCAGGCAAGCTTCAGGGAGCCCAGGCATGCCCACCGAGTGCCAACTTCATCTTCAGTAAAGGATGCTCAGTCCATTTTTTTTTCTGCCCCTACTCAGCCTTCCCTCCCTCCTTCAGAAACAGAGATTGATTTATCTAAGACCTCAGCTGTTTCATGGTATTTTCAAAACAAATTAACACCTCTCTTCTAGAGTTCCATAGGTGACTACATCCAAGAAAGACAGGACAGTGGAAACAACATTCAGAGCTAGCCATGGCCTGGCTGCCAGCACTGTGCTCAGTGGCTTCTTTTCCTTTTTCGTCCATCAGCAAAGATGGAGCCAGACTCGGCCCACTGCACAGAGCTCGTGAGGAGCTGTTCAATCATGAGGAACTCGAAGAGACCTGGAGTGAGCCAGGGAACCGTAGAACCAGAGGTTTCTCGAAGCAGCTAGGGGAAGCCAAAAGGCCTGGGTGACCAGCCACCGCACCCTTGGTTAAAGGCTGCAGGTTTCTTTGGTTAGCACAGCAGCCCAAATGCTCCCCGGCTGAGAGTCGACATGACATGATTTGTTCCTTTTGGGCCGTGTCAGTTCTGCAAGCCAGATACCAGAGTCTGCGACTCAGGAGAGCCTGCATTTGTTTGGACAGGATAGGGCCACTCAGGAGTTTCCATCTCACTAAAGCTCCCAGGGCAGTGAGCATATTTGAGGAATTCTTTTTCGTAAAGATTTTCTTCCTTTCTTCCCACCCCCCCCCAACATTTTTGTTTAAGAGAAAATGAGATGTCTATCTTCTGTTTCCTTATTTTTTTTCAGGAAAGCGAAGGGTTGTTGACTTCCTCCCTCTCCCCTCCCTTCCTTCCTTCTTCCCGAAGGTACTCATCTGAGAAAAAGAGAACGAAGTATTGTTCCTGTTCTCCTTCTTAAGTCATTTGAAACACTGTCCCTGCGAGTTCTTTAAGTTCCCCTGCAGTCTGTACACAAGAGAAAGAGGGAGAGAGAGAGAGGGAAAGACAGAGACAGCCAGAGACCAGGTAAAGCGGCGGGGCCGCAGCCTCTCAGCCCTCAGGAGCTGGTAAGTGACCACACAATCCTTTCTACCTTCATTTCAATGTCCTTGCGATGGAGGCTGACCCGGCATCTTGCACAGAAACCACTGGGCTGCTTCTTAATCAAAAGGTGTGACTGATGGATGGCCCAGAATGTGAACTCATGCCTCTTTGCAGAAGAGAATATGAACGCTTGGCACAGCTGAGGCTGGCAGAACTGGAAATAGAATTGCATCGGGGCTGAGGAGGACGCTGTGTGAAATCTGAATTATTTTTTTGGCACAGACTACTTGGTTGGGTTAACTAGGAGCTACTGGGACATGTGGTAATGTCCCACTGGTGGGATCACTGCTCCCCAGGGCTGCATCCTGGGAACCCCCTTGGGGTGTCTGTTGAGAACTGCTATTTGCTCAGGGGTTTTGTTAAATTGTCTGTCTTGAGGTCCCTTTCTGCTTTCTCCTTTCCACTCTGTACTCCACGGTCCTCACAGGGAACTATTCATGTGTGACTGTCGCTCTGTCACTGGAGAGGGAGGAGAAGGAGGGCAATATTGCTCTGCAATAGTGCTGCATGTGGGGGGCTTCTGGGAGAGGCACCCCATGTGGGGTAAATGTAAATGTACTGTCCACTGTCAATGGGGGGGTGTCATGTGCTACACAAAAGAAGGCAAAGATTCGAGGGCGTATAGCTTTGGTTTTGAAAATCCGCATGTGACTGGAATGGGAGGATTTAGATTGATTGCTTGTGTCAGGAAAAATGAAAAGCTAAGACACGGATGCAATTGAAAAATAGTCTCTCAGAGCCTGCTCTTCTAGGCAGCAGACAGAACAGCGCAAAGAAGCCGGGCGTAGATACACGGTGCCCCCGGTGTTTAAACGTCCAAGTTGTCTCCTTTGCATTTGTCACAGAGGATAATGTTACCCAGAACTTATTATGGCAAGCCATGAGGGAGCCAGGATCATGTTGTCAAAAACAGGTCACCAAGGTCGGGCCAAGACGGGGACGTGGCTGCTGATATTAATAATTTGATCCAGTGAGGTGCTGGATGGGGAGAAGGCAGGGGCCACGCACACTTCTTGACCTATTCATTTCGATGGTGGGTAGGGGCTGAAATCCTCAGGGCAGAAAGAGTGCGACACAGCTAGCTAGTGATTTTAAGATTAATTTGTTCAGATTATGTTTTAACCACGATCAGGTAATGAATCTTTATTCAAAACTGAGCCATCTTCTTAATAAAGGTGAGAAAAATCTAATAGAACTGGACGGTTAATGTAGGGTTTGTCCTACGTTATTAACAGGCTTATTTTTTTGTTTGTTTGTTTCAAAAAGAAAATGCTTTCCTTAGAATTCCTATAAAACGCGCAACACGGAAGAGGCATGAGTGGCATTGCCCACTAAAGAATTGAATGAGTGTGTGACAGTGGTGGCCAGTGGGGCCCAGCTCTCCTACCACCTACCCCAGCCACCCCATCTTACCCACCTCAGGGCAGCAGGCTCTAAGCCTGGTCCTTTTGGGCATTTCGCATGAGTTCTCGGCCAGTGTAACCCCAGAAGAAATGCAGAGCTGCGCAGGACCCTGCTTGGCTCCTTTCGGTTTCATTTCTCCTGGTATCATTAATATCCCAAGTAAAAGAATAGCACGGGGGACTTCGCTTATGCAGAACGAGTCTCAGATGTGATGTGAGGGGAGCCAAATGACTTCAGGGTCACTCTGTTTAAAGACAAGTCAGGCAAAAGTGGGGGGACCATGTTCACTGTATCCCTTCATGGGGGCCAAGACTAAGGAGCTGGGGTAGTGAGGTCATTGCCAGGATAGCTGTTGGATACTGTGGGGGTGGGCAGAGGCTCAGGAAAAAAAAATCCTCCAGGGACTTTAGCCTAGGTCACTGCTACTCAATTTATCTTTTATTCAACTCCAAAGAGCGTGTTGGCATTTGTGGAAATTTCCAGAGTGACTCTCCTTTAGGGACATTATAGGCTCCTTTTTGGTCTCATTAGGGAAATTCCAATTTGGAACGATCCAGAACTCATACAAGACTTCATCAATTAATTCCTGCCAAAACAGTCCCAATAACTAAATTACCAATATGTCGTCTATAATTGGGGCGGTGTTAGAGATTGAACTTATGGTGCGTGCTAGGCGCTTGTTCTTCCATTGGCCATGCCCCGCCCTCAGTTAAATAAGTTCGGGTCTTGTCATGCTCTGTGTACCCCAGGGCTGTGTGTGCATGGGTGACCCGGATGAGAGCAGGCGGAGCACCAATAGCACAGGCCCCAGGAGATACAAACTGAGCTTGAATTTCAGTCTTGTCATTTAGTGATTGTGGGGTTCAGGTCAGAGCAGGTCTTAAGTCTGTGTCCCAAAATGTAAAACTGCATTAATACAATCAGTTCTGAGAATTAAGCGGAATTGTGGATGAGCAGCAGGTAGCGCAATGCTCTGAAAGTCACGGTGGCAATCACTGCCAGCCATGATTTTTTTTCAGAGTTATATGTTCATACTTAGGTAGCCCGTGTTTTGAAAATTGAGAGAATAGACTAAAATTCCCATCTTTGGGGTAATTGTTCTTGCTTGATACTATACCAATGATTTAGCAAAAGAGATTATTCCTTGTAATAAAGTTGGGCACACACCAAGCACACTTATCCTGAACCAACCCCTCTCTCTCTCTCTCTCTCTCTCTCTCTCTCTCTCTCTCTCTCTCTNCTCTCTCTCTCTCTCTCTCTCTCTCTCTCTCTCTCTCTCTCTCTCTCTCTCTCTCTCTCTCTCTCTCTCTCTCTCCAGTTTTTCAAGACAAGGTTTTCTGTGTAGCCTTGACTATCCTGGATCTCACTCTGCAGACCAGGCTGGCCTCAAACTCACAAAGTTCCTCCTGCCCCTGAGTCCCAAGTGCCGGGATTAAAGATGTGCGCCACCACCACCTGGCTGGCTGTCTATCTCTCTTGATGACAGAAATTTGAATCTTAGCTGACAGAGTGACTGACGGTGGCATTCCAGCGTTCCCTGCTGGGAGAGGCTTCCTTTGGGACCAAACTTCTCCACTTAGATGCACGTGGGAAGGGCATTGAATGATGCTGCAGCCGTCTGTACTTCCTTTCACCCACTTCCCTATGTTCAAGCTTTTCACTGTGGGTGACCTTTTCCCTGGCTGTGGAGGAGTATAGACACTCACTCATTCTGAAGACGATGGTGGCTGTGTCACGACTTAGGCAAAAGGCAAAACAGTGGAAGGGACTGAAGTGGAGTTCCCTCTCCCTAAGCTTTTGCAGCAAGTCCTGACCCTCACATGGTGATGGGTTCCTCAGGAGGAAGGTGTCAGCCAGCACCCGCTGTGTGTAGGCGGTGGAGGAGGCATGCCTGCACCAACTATTGTTTCTCACTCTAAACTTTGTAACCAGCATGTCTGTTAGCTCATCAAGTAAAAATGATACTTTTATTTAACTCCCAAACTTCCTTCCACTTTCTAAAAACAAAACGTGCAACAGCGAAAACCACCCAGACTCTACCACCCCGTGCAACAGCGAAAACGACCCAGACTCTACCACCCAGAGTCCAAGCTCTTGGGATTCTTTCACCAGAACACAGGCTCTCATACAATGGAGCCTGGGGATCCTATGCCGCTGTGCTAAAGGTGCCTTTCTGTGTGGCGTGGTATTGGAGAAAAAGGCCAGATCAGGAGCCAGGACACAGACCCAACTTCTGCTGCTCCCCGAGCAATGCTTGGCAGGTGTTTTTTGTTGTGGTTTGTTTGTTTGTAGGCCTCCATTTTCTGTTTGGAGATGACAGGGCTGGATAAAACCAGTGATGAGAGGATGAGGGTGAGAAGAACCACAGAAGAAGGATTTGCTTCCATCAATTGTCAAGTGCCCAGGGCTAGAACAGCACATGACAAAATAGATGCATAATAAATATCTGTTGAATAGGTGAATTGTGAATAAATGGGCTGTCCAGTGAAATGTGCTGTCTTTATATAATGCCAAATGAAGCAATTAATTAGTTAATTAGTTAATTAGTTAAGTGTGTGTGTGTTGGGGGAACACGTCAAGCTTTGGGCAAAGGGAGGGTCTAGCTAATCCCACACTGCCGGGCAATTCCACACTGGTACTGACTGGAATTCTATGGGCTCGTTCTACTGGTACATATGGGGCTGCTACACATGTTTACAGGTGTCATGCTGGCAGGCAACTCGCCTACTCGTTCACTGGAGATAAACATTTGTCAGAGAGATACACTGGAAGACTGTTGGTGGCATTTTATTTTCCATTTGTTTTTCTGGGCAGATGATGGGCTAGCAAATTGTTTTTTGGCAAGAGAGCGAGAACGACTCTTTGTTTTCTCTTGGCTGAAGAGCCACGGGCCAGGATTCGGCCTTGGGAGAATGATGGCCGCACTCTTGAGTTGATTGTTGGCAAGGCTGTGCATGCAAATGAGAGGAGTGCCAAGTCTGGTGGGAGCCCAGAACGCGTGGGCTGAGTTCAGGGAGGGACACGGGAAGCCCCTGTTGAGTGTATTTCACTTCATTAAAATCTATGAAGACAGCCAAAATCGGCTTGCGCCAGTCTTCCCTTTATTTGGCAAATGTAGTGGGGAAAATATAAATGCCTAACAGAAAGTTGACGGTCATTACATTTGACAGTAGTGTCCGGGCTTTCTGCTATTGCAGTGGAGCCTGAAAAAGCTCTGCCTGTCTCTATTGATGAAGCCTGTCTCCCTAGATCCCGGCCCACACACAAGGCTGTTCTGGTCCACCCCTCTGCTTCCTTCTATGTATTGTGACCCCACGTTGACCTCATTCTTTGTGTCCACCAAGTCAGGGCATGATGATGTAACCAGAGATGGCGTTTGGGTCAGATCCCTTACCAGGTTTGGGGCCCTCCCAGGGCCTGAATGCATCAGAGTCTCCTGCTGTAGGCGGCAGTGTGTGCTCTCCCATCTCTGATTTGCAGAAAGGCAGACAAGCCAAAGGAAGTGGCATGCTCCCCCAAACTGAGGAGAAAGTGACATGCTCCCCCACACTGAAGTTGC